TAATTCTGGCCAGCATTATCATTTACTAATAACTTGAATATTGCATTCTCATAGTTAACTTCCTTTGGTATTTCTTGAGCTACACCTACTAACGAAGCTTTTAATGGACATCTATTCGAACCAAGTTCTCTTTTAATCGTAAGATGAGTTGATGACATGACCGTCATCTAAATTAAATATATGTTAATTGTAATCGATTATAACATATTTTACTGAACACATTGTAAATTTTAACCTTAATCTGCCATTATAAGTTCCGGGCACGACTTTTCCACAAACGTTATAATACTCATCTTTCACAAAAACTGATTGAATGTTAGGATCTCTTTCATCTTCATTTAATGGAACAAAAAGAACAAGTTCAATTTCGTAATCTTCACTCTCAGCAGGGTAAACACCTATTGCCCACGCAATAGTTAAGTTCGATTCATCTTTATCAGTTTGGCGAACATGACTTATTTTTACAATCGTATCAACACAACATGGCATTATGAATCATTAAAAATATAAAAAAAATCCAATCGATTGTATACCTTTTTATTTGTTTTAGTATCGTAGCAATGACATATGAATGCTACCAAAAGAGAATCAGAATTTTAACTTCAAATTAATCATTTACTAATTACAAAATTCAACCCTTGAAAAACTTGACTAACGACATACATAATAGATAATTACATATAGTATATGCTATCAACAAGCTTTTCAAGAACTAAATCAGGCAAATGATAAGTCATAAACTTAAAAACACAAAGTCATATTTTCCCTTGGCAACGCCAATAAACAAATACAATTAAACTACTTATTTTAAATCTATTTACCATTTAACATTATACATAGTAACAATCACTTTATGCATTATTATATTACAGTAATAATATAAAAATATACAATAAATTATATTCAAGTTTTTGCTTGCCATAGTGTAATTACCAATGCAAATCGGTATATAATCCTACTCAAATACCTGCTTGAAAAATTTTCCCAAACAATATCCCTTGCATAAAATATCATATCTCGTATAAAAACTTAAAAGGTCCTATAAATGAAATAAGCAAAATTTATCTCTAATATTCCCACATACAAAGTCTCCTAAGATTGAGCAGTTGCGCGACACAATCATGTTAAAGTCAAAAATGAAAATATACGATAATTTAATAGACAAAATATTGCAAGCAATCATGATTTTTAA